TCCTTAATCTAGTATAAGCCTACCCTTAATCTAGTATAAGCCTATCCTTAATCTAGTATAAGCCTAACCTTAATCTAGTATAAGCCTATCCTTAATAGCCTGGCGAACATTTTTATATTCAATTGTTTGGGGTTACAAGGACACATTGATACATGCTTACAACAATAACGAGAAAATATCCGTATGTCGTACAACAATGAATAGTTTGCCATTGCCGCGTTTTTTTCTGCAGGAACGCGACACCATTTGGATTTGTCAGAATTTTGCGTAGCGGGTGTTGTCGATAAAACAAAAGACGGTTGTCCTCCCTGTATTCTCCTTTGAGTTATGTATGTCATACAAGTGATTGATTTCGAAGACGTCTACGAAATGTCGGTGGTGAGAGAGCGAATGCACAGTACATTTCGGCAGCAGATGATTTCGTCGAGTTTGTTTACGTCCGTACGCCGCTCTGTGCTTTAGAATGACTTTGTTCGGTGTTGCTGCATCTGAAAAAGAACATTTAAAACGGTTGTTATGGCAACCGGCAATATAAAATCACATTGTCAATGATGACGTTGGCTATTGTGTATACTCAATCGGGTCACATAAAATAAATTTCTTTTATGCATGATCATACAGTCTACATTACTACCCCTTAATTGTACTGTTCCTTGACAAATATAGATAACCATAATGGCATTTTCTAAATATTTTATAAAACAAAATAAGTTGGTACTTTCAAATCTTTTCGCCTCTTTTTATTTATAGGAGAATAAGCCTTATCATTACTCGATGAATTTTTTTTCAACAAATAGAAGAATTTGCTGAAAATTTCTCTTTCTGAGAAAAATCATTTACACTTTCCTTCGTTCCTAATCCTGGAGGGACTGCCGCTAAACATTTTATCTACTTCCACGAATTCTTTGCAAGGGGGAGGGGTCGTCCTCTCCTACAGTCATATACCATTATCGCCATATAATTGTTTACTTATCAGCCCAACATGTTATCAAAACCTGGATAGTATCAAATTTGTTGTACTTTTGCTGTATATTCTTCCATTTCGGGGATCATACCCGTTATTGAAGTCGGAAAATTCCAATTTCCACCCGCTCCTCAATCTTGACTGTTGTTTTGCCAAAGTGATCGTTGCTTGCGCTAAATCAACTGAATTATCCAATAGAATAGATGTATCTTTAATTGGCTCTGTTACTTAAACGGAATTTTTGAATGAAATATTCAAAATATATTTACCGAAAATTGGAGGTTGCATTTTCCTTTGCGTGTCAGTATGTTCTGACCTTAAAATCATTTTTTTCTAATTATGACTATTTTTTTTCTTGTCATTTCCCGTTAAGTATTAAACTTAAACCGGTTCAAACTAAGTACTTAAAGAAAATACAAAAATGTATTTAGCGTCATGAATATTATTGTGATGTACTTAAAGGGCTTGATTCAGTTCCCTTTAACGGGCCACGTTCACATTCAAATGGGAATTTGGCTTAAATATACAAATCAAATAAAAACTTTGATAAATTTCCACTTTCTGCTAACTGTAAACAGTGTATATAGTCCAAACCTAGGCCCGCCTCTGTCGAGTGGCAGACTTTCTCCTTATTCGTACAATCGCTAATAAAAAAAATCTGTATGTACAGAGTCACCCCCTGTAGATACGTTGAAATAACAGATCTACTGTTTTCCACGGTATCTTATCATGAAAGGCGAACAATGCTGGTCCACTTTAAAATCGGAGATTTGCTTTTGTCTCCTGCTGAGGGTTAACTAAAAATCAAAAGCGACCAAAATAAATCTGCTGCAACCATTACAATATTTAGGATCTTAACATTTCTCTTTACTACTATTTATCTTTAATTTCCTAGCACCTTGCTTAGGCAATATCTCACGTTTGGCTTTGAAGGCAATGGATTCTGTCCCCAGGCCGGGACATACCAAAGCCCTTAAACATGGTAAATGTTGTTCCCTGCTTAACGCTCAGCATTAAGGGCAATTACAACATCTGGTCCACCCGTTGTCAGTATAATGTGACCATGCGAAATGCTGTGCTTTGTGCCGTTGGCATGTTTTTTCAGTGAGACTAGTACTATAAGGTCGGCATGAGATCCGCCCTATCACAAACACAACATCATACCCGGTCTCCGGCACACATACACACAAGCACGCATACACAATACACATGGAGGCACGTCCTTAAATGACCTTAGCTGCTGATATTAAAAGACGTTAAGCACTAAACAACCAACCAGCCAGCCAACCAAACATGATATAATGCCTTAGTTTCAACAATTGGTACTTCGTCTTCTTTTTCTACCAGGTCTTTCTTTCTAGTTGTGTCTGGTAGGCATTCCTCGTCGTGTGTCCAGCATATGTCACTGAACACTGAACAAACCAAATAAAAACAATATTTACCAAGCTGAAAATGGCATATACGGTGTCACTAAGGTTTCCTTGGTCTTTAGTATACTGCCCCTGGACACATAGTACTGGACTGTCCGCTTCTTGGAGCGAATGCTCAATGCTGCTGAACTCAAGCATCGGTCAACATCTTTGTTCATTTCCATTTGTCCTGAAATTGTACATTTTCGTAAAAATAGTGGTGTACGTTATCCTGCCATCATTTGTCCAGAAAAATATTATAAAAAGTTTGGCAATAAATTAAGGTAAAAATGTAAAGGAATTCTTAAGAAAAAGAGAAAAGATGACCTTGAAATGTCTTTGTTGTAAACGAGGTGGCAAATAAAATGAGGGCGTTATATCGAGGTTTTACTGTAGATACATGAGGGGCATTATATCGATGTTTTAATGTATGTTATGGTATTACTGCATTTCCACTAATAAAATTCCACAGTTGTAACGTCACATCCTTCTCCTCGACCATTTTTGTTATTTTGAAAAGTGTGATACGATTGACTAGAGAAACCATTCTGAAGGAGAAGGAACAAACTCCGAAATGACAATACATGAAGGGAGACTACTCGTAATAATTTATTTTCAGAAAATGTCTTTGCTCCTGATTCTAGAAAATTACTCTTTTTGAATATCGAGACATCTTTTGTTTCGTTTGTAGAATTTACATTCAATTGTATTCAATTCTGTTTCGCTTCTTTTCGTTTCGCTATCGTTTCGCATTTTATATGGACACTATATCAAGCCAAATATGATTAAAAATCATCGTACAATTTGACATACGAATTCCTTGAGAGCCGAGAAACCACATAATCTATTGAATATGGACTAAAGTATTTTTGTTTTGTGTGTGTGTGTGTGTGCTGAACGAAGCGCGTTAAGGGATTGCCATATATGTTGTATTTTCTTCCCATCTGTTTCCCATGTCCGAGCGGACGGCGCTCGTCCTACCTTTACCTGAGTCAAATTTTTAATTAAAGAGGTTAAACATGGTGAACAATGTACCGCATATCCATTTTTAAACAACTCCCCTTGATTTGCATTAATAATATGAGATAAATTATTGATGTTAATATTCTAAAAATAAACTATCACTAGTTGTATATGGAAGGTTCCCCGTGGAAAGAAGCAGCAAGCCATCAGTTTCTATACTTAAATACATACTTCAGGGGTAGTACTAGCTAGGCTATTTCATGTTATACTTCCTCTTTGAATATTAACTTCAATATGGGGAATAATCGGCTATCGAGAGTAAAAAATCAATTAGCAAATAGGAAGTGCCAACTTCAAAACAATAGAGGAGAAATGTACAAGCTAGTAGCTTTTTTACTCTATCACTTCCTCATACTTTACTAATCCTCGATATCCAGGGGTTACGCTCACTTTCGCTCTCTGCACCCCTGGAATATGTCATAGCAAAAGTGAAGGCTCGGTGTGCGCCACCTTGTGGATGAGACAAGAATACTAGTTTGATCCTTTGTTGTACATCAAAAGAATCTCGCGGTCACGTAACGGTAAACATTGACAGGCTTTGAAGTCGGACGTCTCTGCTTTGTAATCTTTAAAGGACAGGTATCAGCCTAGCAATTGGTCTTTTTTTTTACCTGACACCAATCAAACAGCTTTATTCGTGCCGTCGGTTTTGCTATGACATATTTCAGGGGTGCAGAGAGCGAAAGTGAGCGTAACCCCTGGATATCGAGAATGCACATTACTAAAATTATATCGAGAAATAAAAGTCTTGTTAATTTCCTCACCAAGAGAACCTCCACAAGAGTAACGTTTATGTACGATGGGAGACTACTCGTAATAATTTACTTTGAGAAATTCCATGGCTCCCGATTCTGGATATTATCGGGACATATTTCGTTTCGTTCGTAGAATATTATGGCGTCTTATAGATGACATTTCGTCTTTTCGCTTTGTCGCCCGAGAAATAACGCCAAGCGAAAAAGTGAAATAACGAAAAGACGAAAACCCTTATTTCGTGGGCGACAAAGCGAAACGACGAAATGTCATATATAAGCCACCATAGAATTTAGATTCAATGAAAACCCTTTCATGGGTGTGGTTCGGGGACAGGGAAATCTTAACCTGAGGGTAAGAGTTTGGCTGTCCAGCACGAAGGTTAACCTCGGCAAAGCCTCAGGCTAGACATTTAAGAATCTTAAACTTTGGTTGAGATTTCTCTGTCTTGTGTAGATACCGTGTACATATGTACACGTGTATGTATCTATACATATGTTGTTTTTTCATTTGTGTTAATTTACAGTTACGAAAGCAGGAGTTAGTTACCATTGCAAGGTCAAACCCCTTTAAACTAAATTATTCAGATTTTTCATTGAGATTTAATATTTCTGTGATGGAGTTTAAAATAAATATATTTGTTAAAAATCCTATTTGGCTTATGTCGGAGATAAACTAAATAAGGTATAAGTAATCAAATTTGGTAAATAATATTTTGTGGTATCCAGTGAGTATGTGTTTTCTCGTTCAGACAGTAACGAATAATGAATGGACACGTAAGCAATAATATACGTGACTGACCTAGAGGGCCCTTAGTGTAAGCCATTCTAAATATACTCAATCTACCGAAGATAAGACATATGCTCTATGGCATTGACTAGTCTTCAGGACATTCGTCTCGTCGGCCAGATTTCAACGATGAACCCGCTTGTGATAGTCACGCTTCTTGCTATCAGCACCGGTGCATGGGCAGGTACTTTTCTTAATATTTTATTTTTTGTTTCAGGGGATTTTTTATTTCTTTAAATCAGAAAAATAACTAGAAAGAAAATATATATATTTGTATGTTGTTTCAGATATGACGTCGCTTCTTTATATTTATAAATTTCAAAGCGAAAACAATGTCCCAATCTGAAATATAATATTAATGTTCCTCGGGTTTTGAATTTTTCAACAATATACTAAAATGCATTGTAACTTTATATGAATGTTTGTTGCGCAAAAACATATTCCATCAAACACGTTTAATACTGTAAGGAGAAGTTGATTGTAAAATTTATTTTCGTATTCTTGCACAATATATATTAAACCTGCTGCACTGACGCCTTTGCAACAAAATTAAGGAAAAAGGCCAAAAAGTTATGTGTTTCTAATTTCATGTTGATGACTATATGTCATTTTGAAAAAATATTTCCCAAAACAACTTTCTCAAGTATATATTTTGAAACAAATGACTTTTAGATATATAAATGAAAAAAAACCAACAACGATTCTATCAACCAAAATCAACAACAAACACGGAAGTACATGTACATGTACCAGGGGTACACCTGATGAAGTTGTTTTGGGAAGCCTCCATCCATTCAAGAACCTATTAATATATCCGTATTTGGATATCCCTCTCCAGACATTAAATCCGGAAAAATAAGTTTATCATTCGTGTTGCAAATTGCTTTTTGTTTCAGCGTCATACACCTGCCATGGTGACGTCAGACGACTCCACCCCACCGGTGAACACAATGGAGGTACTATCGAAGCTTGTTTTGAATCAATAATCAAAAAAGTGGATTTGGGATTTTTACGAAAAGACCATAGGATGTGAAATATAGCTTCTACCAAAATATCGTAATCATTAGCTAATTTTAAAGATTATATTATCAGAAGTGACACTAATGCTAACGCATTCCCATATGGGTCTTTTTAAGCTTCAAGAACCCACCTGAACATTTTCTTTAAAAAACATGTCTTTTCACCATTTTCCTCATCCCCCCTGGAAAATTTGGAACATTTTGCAGTATTTCGTGGTCCTTATTTGAATTAAGTCACTTATGTAGAGGTCCTCTGATCTCATGACTTCAGCTTGTAGAAAGTAGTCTTTTTTAAATATTTTGAACCTCATAGAGAGTCTAAAACAATTGACATTTATTCCCAACAGGTGTCGCTGCATCCAACCATGACGTAGATTACGATTTGCATGACCTGAACAACAAGAAATCTTGTTACTACGCATCAGGCGCGGCGCACTGTAAGTACACCAAAAAATCAGAGCAAAATAGTAATGCACACGACAAGTCGGGCGCGGCGTAAAACATGTATACGACCAGGCGGGCGCAGCGTAATACATGTATACGACCAGGCGGGCGCGGCGTAATACATGTATACGACCAGGCGGACGCAGCGTAATACCTGTATACGACCAGGCAGGCACAGCGTAATGTCAGTACACGAGAAGGCGGGCGCAGCGTAATATCACTACACGACCAGGCGGGCGCGGCGTAATGGCACTACACGACCAGGCAGGTGCAGCATAATGTCAGTACACCACCAGACGGCACGGCGAAATACATGTATACGACCAGGCGGGCGCGGCGTAATACATGTATACGACCAGGCGGGCGCGGCAGGCGGGCGGGGCGTAATACCTATATACGACCAGGCGGGCGCGGCGTAATACATGTATACGACCAGGCGGGCGCGGCGTAATACATGAACACGACCAGTCCGGCACAGCATAATGTCAGTACGCGAGCAGGTGGGCGCGGCATAATGTCAGTACATGACCAGGTTTATAAGGAAAACACAAATTCATGTACATGCATGAAATTGGTGTGGTATAAACATTATTGAACTTTAGGTAAATCTTTGTATAAGCTTTGAAAGGAAAATAAAATAAAAATATGTTTGTGAACCTTCTACCCCATTCACACAGCTCTGCGACCTTGCGAAGACCATACCGATCATCCCCGATTTGAAAAACGAATATCAAATCGGGGCATTATCGCCGTCAAAATTCAGCCAAATTAAAAATTACATCACGACTGTACTGCGATGCTTCTACGTCAAAAGCGCTGCTGACTCGCTGTCACTACGATTACACCTAGACCAATGCCGACCAAGCGGTCGTTTCTACTACAAGTACGTTGCCACTACGACGTACAGGAACATACTACATTGTTACACAGACCTAGAAGACTGTGTGACGCTTTTCTGGTGCTGACCATATTACGCTTCTAGTACGCTTCTAGATCGTATTGAGCGTAGAGGGAGCGTATCGGGAGCACGGTAAAAGCGTAATTAAAACGGCTCGAAATAGTTGCCGACGGTGCCGCGTTTTCATTAAGACCACAGAAATCTCACCACGATGCTTTTACGCACATGAAGATCCTCCCACGTTTGGTCCACGCTGCTTGTACGATAATGGCGTGCCAACTACGTTCAGAATAAGATTTTGCCCCGCTTTTTTTGGCCACGACCCGGCTACGCTTAGCTTGTGCATGTTCAATATAAGCGTGGGGAAAGCGTGAAGCTACCCGACCTAGGAAATCCCATTCCGACCAAACTACGCTCAACGAGATCCTCCCACGATTTGCCACGCACCTTCAATAGAAAATATTTCTATGAACCTTATAAGTAAACATCTGTATGAACATTACGTAGAAAATATTTGCGTGAACCAGTATGATCTTTGTGGAGTACTTACCGTTGTATGCAGTTTGATTGATTAATGTCTGTTTAATTTTGATTGATGAATACCGGTAGCATACCTGTTTGAAAATACATGTATGTGTTTTCCCGCCATCAGGTATCCAGCCGTCGGTAATTGCTGCCTTGGCCAGTCGGGAATCACGTGGAGGACGTCTTCTGACGTCAACAGGAGGATGGGGAGACCATCACCATGCTTACGGTATATTACAGGTAATCACTGTCCTGTACCGGTCACGGACATATCTGGCTAAGTCAGTCTTAGTCACTTGAACGCTTTACCCAAAAGTAAACTTTATATATTATACAACAATTGCGAAACAATGACATTCTAATGCCTACCTTAGATTCTCAATCTCCAGTACGAGGGTCATGCAATACATTTTGTCACCGATGTAAGGAATTACAAGTAGGTTGTTTATAATCTTTCGCAATCGCACTGTTCATGACGTTGACGCTGCCCGGTAGTCCTCGCCTTTAGTAAAGGAAACAGAAAGAAGTCACATGGACTTAGATATATGGCGGGTGGTCAATCTTGGCCATTTTCTCTTCCTTCAAAAATGCCTTTACAAATATTGCTTTTTCGGGATAAGGCATTGTCACGAATTAGCTAGATTCATTTGTAGCATTGAAAAGTAGTCACTAGTCACGAGTGCATACCATTCAACAAGGAATTACTCGTTAAATTATTGTCGGCTGATGTCGAAATTTTTGCACGTGCATTGCTCTTTAAATGCTTTTGCAGTCTACTTCGGCGCTGAACGTTCGTACGGGAGCTGTGGGATGACAGAATTTATTGAATTGCTCTCGTATAATCGCGGTAAACTGACACAAATCACAATACACAGTAGGGGTATCCCCTACGTATTACAAACCTCCATTACACGACCTCCTTCTGATCTTGTCTCTCTAGTGTGACATCCGCTACCACTCCTGCCAGAAGTATGCTTGGGACAGCTGTGAACACATCGAACAAATGGTCAGCGAGGTTCTTGTTCCCTACGTCAACCAGGTGGCGCATAAGCACCCCACGTGGTCTCGGGATCAGCAGCTACAAGGTAAGTACCCAAATGTCTTCACAAAGTTTGCAAGTTGTTGAAATTCTGTAAAATATGCGTTGTATAATATATGCATTGTAATTTCTCTAAACCCATTTTGAAATGTTCGCCATTAATTCAATATTGAGAGTAAGTCATTTCATTCATCTTGCCACCCCTGCATGTGGGGGATCGAGATAAGAATACACCTGCTGTTACCCACTCCATGTATCGTGGGAGGCGATTAATGTAGGAACCCCCTGCAGAATTTGGGATTTGCTTTATTTGTCCTCTATTTGGGGACACAAAAGCGACCAAAATAAATCTGCTTAACCCATAGCAATATTTGGTATCATTACATTTCTTTCTACTTCTAACAACCTTATATTTCCTAGCGCCTTGCTTGGCAACACCTCACTTTTGGCTTTAATGTTGAGCATTCGCCCAGGTGAGGAAGGCAATGGGTTTTTTGTCCCCAGATCGAGACATACCAAAGTCCTTAAAAAGGTAGTTGTTATTCCCTGCTTAGCGTTCAGCATTTAGGGGAATGGCAACAACTGGCTCACCCGTTGTCAGTATAATGTGACCGGGCGAAATGCTGTGCTTGGTGCCTTCGGCGTGGTATTTCAGTGAGATAGCACTATAACGTCGGCATCAGATCCGCGCTATCACAAGGAGGCAAGAACGCCAACATACCCTGTCTCCTGCATACACACACGCAAGCGCTCATACACTACACACAAGGAGGTACGTCCTTAAATGACATTAGCTGTAAATAGAACGTGAAACAAAATTAAACCAAACCAAAATTCATTTATCTTGCATATCTCGAAATAGGTTCGAGTTTAACATTCGAGATAAGCATTATAATTTAACGTATGCTACTGTATGAATAAAAAAAAACATACCAGAACAAAGAGTTGCTATCGCTTTGGCCTATTTATGCGTTCATCGGGCAGCTCAGATTCATCAACAGTTGCTTGTTGAACCTATATATATATATATATATATGAATTTGCTAGCAACTTTGTGTTTTAGTTTGGACACCATTCAATCTATACTTACTGTGTACATTGTCATAGTTTTTTTCGCTAAAAGTTGCTTCGCAATGTTTGGCATTCATTCAATATCGACAGGAGACCTATTCCATTAGTTTTTTACTTTAAACCCTATTTTATTCATGTCAGTTAACATCATGTACAATTACAAAAGACATTTTATTCTGACAACTTGAAAACAATTACTAACGTACTTATACATATTCATTCTCATATTTCATTCAACTTGCATTATCTCGAGATAGATGCGAATATAACATTCGAAATAAACGAAGCCCAGAAAACGTTTGATCAGTGATTTGTTTCCGGTATTTACATCTGGTTCCATTTGATTGACAGGTGGTATCGCTGCCTACAACTCAGGAGTTAGCAACGTCCAGACCTGGGCCCACCTTGACGTTGGCACAACCGGAAATGACTACAGCAATGACGTAGTTGCGCGTGCTAAACACCTTATCGCAAGTCACAACTGGCATTAAAATGTCGTGAAGCACGAGGGAATGACAGGAAAATTATTCATGCTGATTTCAGGATTTTGGCATTGATATTCGAAGAAAGATAGTTAATATTATGGTGAATAAATTATCGTTATAAGCACAGGACATTGGAGTATGCTTTGTTGGTAAGGACTCACACAATAGTAATGATAAATCTGCTGCAACCATTACAATATTTAGGATCTTAACATTTCTCTCTACTACTATCTACCTTTAATTTCCTAGCACCTTGCTTAGGCAATATCTCCCGTTTGGCTTTGAAGGCAATGGATTCTGTCCCCAGGCCGGGACACACCAAACATCTTAAACATGGTAATTGTTGTTACCTGCTTAACGCCCAGCATTTAGGGCAATAACAACATCTGGTTCGCCCGTTGTCAGTATAATGTGACCGGGCGAAATGCTGTGTTTGGTGCCATTGGCATGGTTTTCAGTGAGACTAGCACTAAAGGCTCGGCATGAGATCCGCGCTATCACAAGGAGGCAAACACAACATCATACCCGGTCTCCGGCACACATACACACAAGCACGCATACACAACACATATGGAGGCACGACCTTAAATGACCTTAGCTGTTGATACTTATAGGACGTTAAACCTTGTAAAACTAACCAACCAGCCAACCAAACATGATATAATGCTTTAGTTTCAACAATTGGGACTTCATTTAATTTTTTCTACCAGTTCTTTCTTTCTAGTGGTGTCTGGTAGGCACTCCTCGTCGTGTGTCCAGCATATGTCACTGAACACTGAACAAACCAAATAAAAACAATATTTACCAAGCTGAAAATGGCATATACGGTGTCACTAAGGTTTCCTTGGTCTTTAGTATACTGCCCCTGGACACATAGTACTGAACTGTCCGCTTCTTGAAGCGAATGCTCAAGGCTGCTGACCTCAAACATCGGTCAACATCTTCGTTCATTTTCAATTTCCTGAAATTGTACATTTTCGTGAAAAAAGCACAGTTAAACCTCGTTATACTGCCAACATTCATCCAGAAAAATTTAAGCGTTCGAAGAAGTTTGGCAATAAATTTAGTTAGAAATATAAAAGAATTCTTAAGAAAGAGAGAAAAGGTGATCTTGAAATGTCTTGGTTGTAAACGAGGTGGCAAATGAAATGAGGGCATTATATCGAGGTTTTACTCAATCTATATATCTTCACTGTATGGTATGGTATTACTGCATTTCCCTTAATAAACCTCCACCATTGTAACATCACGTCATATTTATGATATCAATTCCATCTCCCCGAACATTTTTGTTCTAGAGAAACCATTCAGAAGGAGAGAAAATAACTCCGAAATGACAACGGGTATCGTTTATGCATGAAGGGAGACTACTCGTAATAATTTATTTTTAGAAAATGTCTTTGCTCCTGATTCTGGAAAATAACTCTTTTATATTATTGCGACATATTTTGTTTGTTCGTAGAAAATAGATTCAATTATATTCAATTCTGTTCTGTATCGCTAACGTTTCGCACTTTATATGGACACTATCTCAAGACAAATGTTATTAAAAATCATCGTATAATTTTGATATACGAATTCCTTGAGCCGAGAAACCACAAAATCTATTGAATATGGACTAAAGTATTGCTTTTTTTGGTATGTACTGCACCAAGCGCGTCAAGGGATTGTCAAATATGTTGTATTTTCTTATCTGTTTCCCATGTCCGAGGGGACGGCGCTCGTCCTACCTTTACCTGATTTAAATTATTAATTAAAGAAGTTGAACATGGGAAACATGTATCCCACATCCTTTTTTAAACAACTCCCCCTTGATTTGTATTTATTATATGTGATCAATCAAAGATTCTAAATATAAACTATCACCAATTGTATCCCTTCACAAACACACAACACTCGTTATTCTAGGGAAGGTTCCCCGTGGAAAGCCAGAGGTTTCTATACTTAAATACATATTAAATGAAAATTAACATCATCCTTTCTTTCGAATTCTTTAATCTAAAGGATGACTGCTACCTGCAACGTACAGACATAATATAATGATTAGTTATCTCCTCCCCCAAGGGCAAGTTTTATATGGAACATAGAAAACTGATAAGCCAGGTCTCCGAGTGATAACTTGAATAAGTCATCTGTCCTTAATGACTGATCACAAAAACAAGCACAACGATAGTCTCTCAAAAATAATCCAGACACACAAAAGTCACTTTAGTTTTTCAGGCCCCCTAAGTCCTGACTCTTCCTCCATGGTGCAATGACGAAGTATTCGTGGTTGTTCCAGTTCCTTTACTACGGCCTTAGTATGAGGTTGAAGACGGGCAAGAGCTCGTGGTACGAGCCACCACAGGCTCAACAAGTTTGGGAGTTTGATGGTCTGTCATATCAAAATTCAATCGATGTCGCGTTGACAGAGACTCCTGTGTAGGGGTGGTAGCTTGTGGCCTGATCCTGTTAGATGGTGACTGTCGCACATGTGGTGATGGCGAGGGAAGTGGAGCCTGTAGGGCCTGTGGTGACAACGGTATTGTAGGTTGGTCCAGCTGTGGCACTAGGGATGGAGCAGATATTTTGTCGCCGGAAGGCGCTTCCGGAGGCGGTCGTTCATCTGACGTAGGCGTGATACTGCAGCCCAAGAGGTAGTGCAATGAAAGGGAGAGAACTTACGAAGGTGCTGGCGATTTCGGAGTCACTCTGCCTGTGCCATCCACACGGATGACATACTGGTGAAACTGACGCACTTCCACAACAATCCCTGTACGTTCCCATCTCCGAGGATGGTTTCCAGCCAGGTTTTGTATGTAGACGTGATCTCCAACCTGCAGTGGTGGTAACCGGTGAGTGTGTTCATTCCACCGTTCATGTTCCCTGGCATGACGTCTGGAGAGTGCTTTCTCTCGATGGGACATTAGCTCTGTCCATGTTTCATGAGGTGAGTATCTACCCATCGGTATTGGGGTGGCATCACGGATGGGTCGACCAAACAAAACTAACGCTGGTGATGCCTTTGTCTCCGGGTAAATGGAATTTCTGTACATCAGTAGGGCCCTCTGAAACTTGTCCACATCGAGAGACCCAGACGCGGTTATGTTGTCCATGAGCATGCGGTTTACAGTCTGCACTGCCATCTCAGCCCTGCAATTAGCATGTGGATTTGCGACCGATGAAATCCTATGTCATTAGCCATGTCCTCGTTCTCACTATGCTGGCAAAGGCTATTCAGGGTGTCATGAAATGGGATAGATGTGTTGTCATTCATATCAAATTCCAAAGTTTCGCCAGGCAATTGTAGGTGCTCGGGCGGGGAGGCAGTGTATCTAGAAGTAGCATCCGGACCTTGGCTCTTCTTTCCAGGAACATGTACAACTGTGAACCTGTACCCAAGAGTTTTTTCCTTGAGGCTAAGAAGTCGTCTGTTACTAATATCTGTAAGTGACCTATCGTTCAGGATCTGAAGTAGTGGCTCTTGATCCGTGTCTATGAGTAGATCTTTGCATCCTAGCACGTAATAGCGAGTCTGGTGTAGTGTGTAAACAATAGTCAAGGATTCGCCTTCAATGGGAGTATAGCGGCTTTCAGCAGGATGTGTAAACCTGCTGCCAACTAAACACAGCTTCCAACCATCAGGGCAGCAGTGGGAGTCTTACCAGTACACTGGCAGTACTTCTGCATCAAGAAGAACCCTATTCCATCAACGGACCAGTCAGTAGCCAAGCAAGTCGATCGGTCAGGGTCAAACAGGAGCACCCCTTCCTTCATCTCCTGTATGATGACCTCCTTGGACTGATTGAATAGCTGGTCCAGCTCATCTGTCCAGACAAACTTTGTAGATTGTTTTAGCAGAGTCTGAAAAGGTTTCATCTGTCCTGTCCTGTCCTGGCAAAGGCATACGTACCCTGGTAAATAAGCCCGAAACATGCCCTGGCACCAGTGATATCCGTTGTGTGGGGAAATTTCTGATAGCATCTAGGAACTTAGCACTAGGTCGAATGTTTGTTGGAGTGATTGTCAGTCCTGCAAAGTCAACGGTGTCCTGGGCAAACTGAAACTTCTTTGGGTAAAGTGTGATGCCATTTCGAGCACACAGGTCAAACCATTCACATGCTTGAAAGAATGCCGCTTCAATGGACCCTGCCCACATGCAATTATCATCCACGCACTTGATCTTTTCCGGAAATTGGAAATTATTGCATCAAAGCGCTGGTTGTAAGCATCACCGCTAGCGAGAAATCCTTGTGGAGCCACTTTGAACCTATATCGCCCCCATGGCATGATGAAGGTAGTGATATGTCGATCGTCTTCTTGGATGGGCACAGAGTGGTACCCATTCCAGGTGTCTGTTACCGTTTTTCTCGTACATTGAGGAACACGGTCTGCCAGATGGAAGGAGCCAGGCACATGATGAGTCTGGCGGACAGAATGGCGATTTTGAGGTTGTAGATCTACAGTACGACGTGGAGTCCCGTCAGCTTTCCCAGTCACAACCATCCTCGAGCACCATGTTGTAGGAGTGTTTGGACTAACGCGCTCAAGAACACCGATGCGAACATCCCTCTCAATACCAGCATAGACCTTATCCTGCCAATGAATTGGGACAAGTACCACCGGCCTAACTTTGGGATCAACATGGAGCTGTAAGGGCTCACCCTTCATAAGAGGCAATGGTTGATGCTTACAGACATTGAAGGTTGTAGAACCATAATAGTCAAGAAACAAATCTGTGAGAGTCCCTATGTTCTCTTCTGTGGCCCGTAGTCCTGGGGGTAGCGTAGTCGGCAGTGTTGGGGGTTCCGTTTGACGCCTGGGACAAGAACAAGTTATCTCCTCAGAGTCCTCAACTGGGGCGGTGACATCCGTAGGCACATTGGGGAAGTCCATGTGAATGACCCCGAGAGATATGAGCGCTTCCCTGCAAAGGAAAGCCTTTTCCATAGTGTCAGATACATAGCAAAGTATGCGTGTTGACCGTGTAGAGTCAGTGCTTTCATCTTTAACTGCCAGTCTCTTAATAGATCAGCCTCAGCCATATTAGCTACATCGCACTGAAGGTCACGTAGAACATCTGTCCGTAGATCAGTGTCACAACAGTAGAATAGCGCAGTGGGGAGAACAGTCTCCGTAATGGCCATTCCAACCTTATACATGTTCCACTGCCTGGCAAAAGCTGACCATTGGTCTGGGTCACATCCAGCAGAAACAATTGGTGGGTCTAACTTGAGCTTTGGTGGTGTTGGATTTGCTGGGGTTCTATGGACGGTCCTGTCATGAATTTGAAGAGAAGCAGTGAGGGCAGATGCAAATTCTGCTGCCAGGTCTTGAGACGTCCATATACAGCCTGCGACAGGGCACTGTAACACTGGCATGATGTGATCCTAAGATGTGGCAAAAATGAGTGATGAACGATGGCTTGATGACAAGGCGATAACCCTAATCCATGCCTGGCTGGGTGTCGGGGATGTATACATAGTGGTAGCAGTCATAAATGAGAATTAACATCTTCCTTTCTTTCGAATTCTTTAAATAAAGGATGACTGCTACCTGCAACGTACAAACATAATATAATGATTAGTTACATATTTCAGGGGTAGAACTAGCTAGGCTATTTCAAGTTATACTTCCGCTATGAATATGAACATCAATATGGGGAATAATCGGCTATACATGGCAAAAAATCAATTAGCAATTAGGAAGTGCCAACTTCAAATAAATAGAGGGAATATGTATAAGCTAGTCGCTTTTTTACTCAAGCACTTCCTCATACTTTCCTTGTTACTAAAATTATATCGAGAAAAAAATTGTCTTGTTAATTTCCTCACAAGGAGAACCTTCACCGCAATTACAACAAGTAACATTTATATACGATTGGAGACTATTCGTTATAATTTATTTTGAGAAATTCCATGGCTCCCGATTCTGGATATCATCGGGACATATTTTGTTTCGTTCGTAGAATATAGATTCAATGAAAAATACCTCATGGGTGTGGTTCGTGGACAGGGAAATCTTAACCTGAGGGTAAGAGTTTGGCTGTCCAGCACGAATGTTAAACTCGGCAAAGCCTCAGGCTAGCCATTTAAGAATCTTAAACTTTAGTTGAGTTTACTGTGTCTTAGGTACCCAATGATGGGGAAGATTGCTTAAATCTGTTTGTGCATGTGTGCATCTCTATGTTCTTGTGTAGATACCGTGTACATAGGTACACATGTATGTATCTCCACGTCTGTCCTATACTGGACAGTAGCCCTACCTGTCTACCTATCTAGACACAATCAATAACACAACTATGAAATAGGATGAGCCTGCTCATTGAAGGCCTCTATGGAGCGGCGTTTATTCATTCATCATCTTCACATGTACGAGAGTCAACAATATATGTATAAGTATACAACAACTCTCTCACTCACTTGGAATACCAACAATCAATGTGTTCTCACGTCCTGGGCTAAAAACCAGAGATAAAACTGATAAGGCAAAAACTCTGGAAAACCTTCTGACGCTAAACACTTAGCTATTGTAATACATATACATGTATATAAAATGCAGGTATAATGAAATGTACAACATTTGTTTGCTTCACGCTTAGAATATCTCCACTGATCTGTCAATCAAGACACAAGAACAAAACAAATCTCTAAAACTGCTGTCGTCACATCTGAATTTTTTTGGGATTTTTTTTTTACAAAATATTCAAAATTTTGAAATAAACATTGACCGTATGCTGTGAGCTTCGAGGCTAGAATGACCACTCTATACACCTGCTCACTACTCCCTAGTACTTTGCCCGATAACTCGTGCACCCTACAAACAACTCATGAATATTCACGAGTAGCTGTACATGTGTCTGGTCGAACCTGAACAGACAAATGTTTCCTGCTAAACTACGAATTGCAGGAAAATTATAGTACCTTGTTAATACATTAATTCATACGAAAACAGCAGTTAGTTCCCCTTGCAATGTCAAACCCCTTTAACCCAAATTATTCAGATTTTTCATTGAGATTTAATATTTCTGTGATGGAATATAAAATAGATATATTTGTCGAAAATCCTATTGGCTTATGTCGGAGATAAACTAAATAAGGTATAAGTTATCAAATTTGGTAAATAATATTTTGTGAGTATCCAGTGAGTTTGTGTTTTCCCGTTCAGACAGTAACGGATAATGAATGGACACGTACGCAATAATATACGTGACTGACCAAGAGGGACCTTAGTGTAAGCCATTCTAAATATGCACACTGTCTGCCGAAGATGGCCTCAGACCACAATTAATTCTACTGTATGTTATACCAAAGGAAATAAATTATTAAAATATTTTAAAACTTTGCACAGGGCCTGGTTCCTATTTCATATTGTAGATCTATTCAAACTGAACGTACGGTGAGCTGGAAAGTACCTCATGACCGGCATTTAAGAAAGATAATTTTATTTGAATTTCACTACCCTGCATGTAAAGGGGAAAATACTAAAAATCACAAAATATCACTGTGCAAGCCTCATCACTCATTGTGTCCTGCTGCCAAGACAAACTTTGAAACTGTGTCAAATAAAATTTAATCACTAGAATAGATATTGTTGAAAAATTCTATGTAAAAAAAACTGTACATATCTGACATAATTCAGACAGGAAAAATTATTTAGTAACCCACCTGAAATGTCCTTATGCACTACATTCGTATACAACGACCCGGAAGTGTTATTGTGGTCTGAGGCCTGTATTTGGTGATTTTTGGAGACATATTTTTTTTATTCTATCATTACATTTGGCATGCAATTACAAATGTTATTGCAAATTATTGTGAAATTTACTCCAAAAATAAAAAAGTTCTTTCATTTTTAGTTCCCCTACCCCTAATCCACAGCAATGCTGTATTCTGCATCTAATATTTCAGAGAGGTCTCATAGATAAATGACTATTGGGCGAGTAATAATTAAGTAATATATCAATAACATATATCAAATTAAAGCTTATTTAATACTCTTTCACATTTTACATGCAGTTTATAAAATTTCAAAAGAAGTAAAGTTTAATGGACTTTTAATTATGAAATTTCAAAAATCACAATTTTCAAGTAAAAATTACACATTATTAATGATATAACTTTTCTATATGACATCACAGCCTGTCTAACCTTATACCACTGTATAAGGGGACTTCTCCCCTACAAAATGAATGTAATTGTAAGTTTATAGCCCTACTAATTATTTAGTAAATACATGTCAAACATAGCAAGGTAAGCAAGTGCCACCTCTCAAGGGGCCAATACCAGTGTGACAAAGGGATAAGATATCCTGTCCCTGTGGGCTTGTAATCCTTATTAAGTGGTGTAAATATTCAGAACATATGTGTTTATAGTCAATTTAGGTAAATATAGGTGTTTTTGAGTATTGCAGTTATTAAGATAGGGATATTTGACCTGAAAGGACCATGAAGGGAAGGTATAAGAGAAGTAAAAATGTAGTCAAAAAGTGTAATACACCACATAATAAGGGTACCAAGACTGCAGGGCATGGGGTGAGTAAAGTTCCAAGTGAAAATGTCTCAGGTACCTGGAAGAGACTGAGTTCTGATATGTATTCCTTAGTCACTGTAACGCATCCTGGTTGTAGCTTTCCTAGCACTCCCGACACTGAAGGTAACCCTGGCATTGTCAAGCACCTTAGGCCCAAGAAACCACAACCAGTGATAGAAGTTGCATCACACCTCCATGAAAATAGGGAAAAAAGGTCTAGGTTAGATAATGGTGTTCAAAATCAGGGTAACAGACTAATAGATTCTAAGACAAGAGGCCCAAGGGCCTTAGCAGTCACCTGAGCTATATCATAGGTACTGGTAGCTTTATTTTATTGTTTAGATGTGATGTGGAAATCAGCATGTAAACTAAGTGAAATACAGTACTTGTCATGTCATCAAAGGATAACAATTTTGAAATATTTGTAAATGTTCCCTTTGGGGCCCCACTCTAACCCCTGGGGGATGGGGCAGGAATTCCAAGTTTACAATGTGATACCGTCATCAACCAAAGATGATTCTGACCAAGTAAAAATAATTTCCAACCGAAAATTGTCAAAATATACTCAAAAGTGTTGTTTCCCTATATAAACTATAGTAAACTTTACCCCCTCCCCAAGGGAGAACGGATAGCCTGGGGGTCCTGAAATTTACAATTTAAATAAAGCCCCTGATGATCTTTCCATCCATGCAGAGAAAATGACTATAATACCTCTGAGTCTGGAGAAGAAGATTTTTGAAATATTGGCTAATTTTCCCTTTGGGGCCCCGCCCTGGCCCCTAGGGTTGGGGTAGGAATCCCAATTTTACAATTTAAAACCATCTTCCTCCTCCAAGGATGATTCTGACCAAGTAAAAATAATTTCCAACAGAAAATTGTCAAAATATACCCAAAAGTGTTGTTTCCCTATATAAACTATAGTAAACTTTACCCCCTCCCCAAGGGAGAACGGATAGCTCGGGGGTCCTGAAATTTACAATTTAAATAAAGCCCCTGATGATCTTTCCATCCATGCAGAGAAAATGACTGTAATACCTCTGAGTCTGGAGAAGAAGATTTTTGAAATATTGGTTAATTTTCCCTTTTGGGCCCCGCCCTGGCCCCTAGGGTTGGGGTAGGAATCCCAATTTTACAATTTAAAACCATCTTCCTCCTCCAAGGATGATTCTGACCAAGTAAAAATAATTTCCAACAGAAAATTGTCAAAATATACCCAAAAGTGTTGTTTCCCTATATAAACTATAGTAAACTTTACCCCCTCCCCAAGGGAGAACGGATAGCTCGGGGGTCCTGAAATTTACAATTTAAATAAAGCCCCTGATGATCTTTCCATCCATGCAGAGAAAATGACTGTAATACCTCTGAGTCTGGAGAATAAGATATTTGAAATATTAGTTAATTTTCCCTTTTGGGCCCCGCCCTGGCCCCTAGGGTTGGGGTAAGAATCCCAATTTTACAATTTGGTAGCCTCATCTACCAAGGATGATTCTGACCAAATTTGAAAAAATTCCATCCACTGGTTCTTGAGAAGTTGATAATGTAAAAAGTTTACGCACGACGACGAACGGAAAGTGATTGGAATAGGTCACTTGAGCAAAGCTCAGGTGACCTAAAAATAGGTGATCTTATACAAATTGCCTTGTCACACAGGTGTGACAATCCAGATGTTGACATTCACAAAGAGGTAAAAGTAGGAGTAACATGTAAATTCAAAGTAGTATGCAAAACATGTGGTTGGGTGTCTAACAATCAAAAAATGTACAAAGAGATTCAATCCCCTAAAAGGGGCCCAAACCCTGCTGTCCCGAATCTGACAATGCATGCCGGCCTCCAAAAAACATCTATGGGGCCAGCAGGGGCACGGCGTTTGTTCAATGCTATGAATTTGGTTCCCACGTGCCGTAGCAGTATGCAGAGAAATGCTAATATTGCAGCAGAAACAATCATAACATTGAATAAGGAGGATATGGCAAACAAAGCACAGGAAGTAAGAGAAATAAAGGAGTTGAGGGGAGCTGCAGACCCTAACATGGTTAATGTTCAAGTTGATGGCAGGTACAATAGGTCAACAATAACCTGTCGTAATAAACCTGGTACAAGTGCTACACAGTTAGCACTTATAGCTCGCGAGGATGTCACTGACAAAAATTACATTATAAGGATAGCTGTCCAATCACAAATATGCTGGAAAGGTAAATGGTTACGCAGAAAAGGGTTTGATGCAAAATGCCCTGGTGGCCATATAGACTGTAGTGCCACAATAGGGGTGGGGACACCGTTGTCAGAATTTGAGGCTGCTAAGCTAGTAGGTGAGCAGCTATACCAGCAAGATCTTATTGTACGATACGCTACATCAGATGGGGACGAGCGATCAGTAGCAGGTCTTGACGCAGCTTATAAAGCATTTATACCCATGTGGGATGTGAAACGACTAGCAGATCCAACCCATTTAGGTCAAGCACAATTTAGAAAATGTATGCGTGCACATTTTAGCAGACATGTTCCCAGGTATGAAAACAAGAGAAGGAAAGATAGAATCCCAAAAGGTGCTAAGCCGTGATATAAAAGCTCGATGTAGCCTAGTCTGTAAAGAGCTTACAAAGGATTGTAACGGTGAGACAAAAACCAGCCGAAAAACTGCCCCTTGTCTTAGATGCCACCCTTCGATGTTACAGCGGGGATTGTTCTAGATGTAAAAGATACTCATTTGTATGCAATGGTGGTATTAGTACTGGTACTTGGTGGAACAGGCCCATATTCCTGTCTAAATACAAGCTGTACAGCTTGAATATGAATGAAAATGACAAACACCTGATGCTCAAGATACTGAAAATGAAGTTGACAGATGAATATGTCACAGCAATGTCACTTGGGGCAAATACCCAAAGATGCAAAGCCTTTTTCAGGCTTCTGAATAGCCGGTTACCGAAAAATGTGTTATTTAGCAGAAATATGAACGCGCGATTCCATGGAGCTGTTCACACAGGTAATAATGGAGTGGAACATTCCCTTATGACAAAAATGGAGTGCCTCGGTGCAACTGTAGCACCTGAGGTAAGACGCTCTCTGCAGCAAATACAAGCAGAGCAAGATTACCACCAAAAGTATCAAAAGGGCTCAGCTTTCAAAAAAAGGACCCTAGAACTGAAAGCAGAAGCCATTCAGAGACATATTCAGAACAAGGGGGCAAGATCTGATTACAAAAAGGGCAGCTAGATAACCCCCCCCTGACCTCAGAACCAGTAGACTGCATTCCAACAATGATGAGCACAATTATCATAAGTAGAAAAACTCATTAGTAATGTAATATTACCACAGTAAAAATATTGTCAAAACATATAAAAAGAAAAATAACAAAAATAAAATCTTGTCATTATGCATGTGATGAGCCGAGCTTGAGCCGTGCTCAATATTGCTTTGTATATAGGTAAAATTTAAATTTGTATATAATATTTCAGGTAATGTACCTGTATATGTAAATCCAGTAAACAATCAGGAAACTCCCCATGCCCTGTGCACTTATTTAAATGTTTACAGTGGATTCTGTTATTGTTGATGCTGTGTGGTTCCATACTTATATGACTTATCGCTACACAGAGGTTGTTGTGACACAGGTGTGACGCATCAAAGTCCGAACTTAAATTTAAATTTTGCGTATGCATTATAACACTTAACCGGTGTGCTGTAACTGTTTTCGATACACCGGTATCTGGATGCTTGTATCTAACAACACCATATTTGCTGTTGTGTGTCACCGGTCCTGTCCAAATAACACATCGGCCATTACTTGACACAACACATTTCTTGTCTAAAATTTCACTGTACTTTAAACAAAAATCTTCCATTTTTCAGAAAGTTGTCGCAAATGTCAAAAGCTAGTTAAAATGAAAGTAACTGCTGGTTTATAAACACGTGGATAGCTGTAGTTCCTATCTAAACTTCCTAATTTGTCTCATAAAATTACCTAAAATCACATTAATTATTTTGTAATAAGTTCTATAAAATCCAAATTCATTCAAAACATTCACTGACAGCTAGTACAAACCTTTAACTTCAATATTCCAGCCTGTCATGTTCAAACGTGCCGGCTACAGCGGAAGTTTCCGATGAGCCTGACTCAATCGCAACTTCTCGGCCAATTCCGGTTAGGCATATGATTCCGCGCCGCGCCTTCCGCGCCTAGCCGGAATTGGCCGAGAAGTTGCGATTGCCTGAGGCATAACTCTCTGCTATGCAGGCCTCAGACCACAATTAATTCTACTATATGTTATACCAAAGGAAATAAATTATTAAAATATTTTAAAACTTTTCGCAGGGCCTGGTTCCTATTTCATATTGTAGATCTATTCAAACTGAACGTACGGTGAGCTGGAAAGTACCTCATGACCGGCATTTAAGAAAGATAATTTTATTTGAATGTCACTACCCTGCATGTAAAGGGGAAAATACTAAAAATCACAAAATATCACTGCGAAAGCCTCATCACTCATTGTGTCCTGGTGCCAAGACAAACTTGGAAACAGTGTCAAATAAAATTTAATCACTAGAATAGATATTGTTGAACAATTCCATGTAAAAAATCTGTACATATCTGTCATAATTCAGACAGGAAAAATTATTTAGTAACCCACCTGAAATGTCCTTATGCACTACATTCACTACAATGACCCGGAAGGGTTATTGTGGTCTGTGGTTTATGGCCTTGATTAGACTTCAGGACATTCGTCTCGTCGGCTAGATACCAACGATGAACCTGCTTGTGATAGTCACGCTTCTTGCTATCAGCACTTGTGCCTGGGCAGGTACTTTCTTAAATATTTTATTCTTTATTTTTGGGGATTGTTATAGAAATAAGGAAAACAAATCTAGAAAATCAAGTAAAATAGATTGTATGTTGTTTCAGATATGACGTGGTGGTTTTAACGGCGGTGGAGTGAAGACGTGTTTTTTTTATCTGCTCTGTTTTTAGCTTGATTTTAACTGGTTTTAATGCTCCACCTGCCTACAGTTGACTTTATAAAGTTTTTAGATTAGGTATATAGCATACAGCTATATTTTTAGGGGTGTAGTAAGTGTACAGAACTGTTTTTATTGACTTTTATGTGTCCTACCCCATTTTATAGTGGCGGGAAACCGTTCCCCTGTTGCAGAAAATAGACTGCTTTTAAATTACTGCGTTTTAGAGGCCGCATTGACTCTTTTATATCCATTTCACTTTTAAAATTACTACCGCCCCGGCCCTTGGTGACGGAGTGTCTGCCTTTGCCCTGTATCTCGACGAAGACTGAGCTGTCGTCTAATTTTCCAAGATGGCGGCCCCACGTCGATGAACCTGTATTCATGAAAGCCGATCTACATTAACAGCTGAAGTATGTAAAATCCATTTGGAAAAGTGACTTGTACCAATCTGTATCACCATAACTCTCCGACCGTATGCCATACTACAACCTATCGCCAAAAAACTTCCATCACCATTACAACGTACAAGCAGGGTATACCCAAGATGGCGGACAGCATGATAATGGCTTCCACTGATGTATGTACAATCAACATTGACCAACATAATGAACTTGCACCTTTAATTAATTATCAGATCAACCCTCATACCAGAACCAAATCATATACCATGAACCAAAAACGCTCACTTCAAAAAAGAAAAGGACAAATGTGAAACTCCATTCATAAACATCATCCCCAAAGATGGAGGCAATCAACTCAAAGTTGAATGCAGCACCGGGTGCTAGGAATTGATCAAGTCAGAAATCATCTCTGCCACAAATGACCAGACAATTATGGACAAGTACAACATGTCATTTGCACTGGAAATGGTCCACGATCAACAGGGAAACTCCCCGGAAACCATAATAAAGGCTAACAACAGACTTAAAAACTCACAACCGGGAAAAAGACATAAATTCACAATCAACATGTACCATACCCAATGCTCACTGTTGATAAAAGGAACACCACAATTTCAAAATGAGATTCTACCCGACATCATAGAAGCTGTAAAACAGAATCCAAATATGTCAACACTGGACAGACACTTCGCAGCACTCATAAACAGATGTCTAGCACAGAGTATTGACAAACCAGATGCACACACTAGCATATATGGGGACCCCCTATGCCCAGAAGTTGAACATACTATGGCTGGAGCTGGTCACAAAACCTGCAATGAAGTTGCTATACCAGACATTGAATGCAGCACCAATGAAGACATAAGCCTATGTCCACATTGTAAACTTCATGTAGAGGTAGGCCTTGAATGCGACGTCTGCTCCCTATGGTACCATTATGATTGTGAACACCTAGATCAGAACTTCATAGACTTTTATGAGTAAGGAGATACCGTCTACAGTTGCCTATCATGCAGACATCTAACTGCAAGATCAGAAACTCTTCAAATTTCCGATATGAACATCCATATTACCTCGCTACTTGAACCGGACTCCATGGATATTGGTCGAGATGATGAAGTACACATCAAAACATACCAAGATGACGCTACTAAAATCTCAATTAGACCGCCTATCGCACATCAAGAAACAGAAGGTACTACAGAGATAAAGACCACCACAATGGACCACAACAACCACCGAGGTACACATGACTCCGATACATGTCAGGCTATTGTAGCAGATGGAGAAATGGGCCCTTCAACAGTCACAACAAAGGTATTGGAACTGTCGCCAGTCCTAAACTCTAACAATCTAGACATACCAGTAAAGCAGCCCCAGAAAACTGCAAAGGGAAAACCAAAACAAAGGCAAAAACAGGTTGAAGTCCACAACAAAACACCATACGGTAGACCACACTCCGGCAGCAACTCCATCGACATGGACCAGGACAAGCACACGTACCATGGAACTAGATATGCACAACACAGTCAATATGCTTCAAAACCGACTACAGATAATGGAGATGGATCAAATGCGGTCTAGAATCAACAGCATAGAGAATATGATGGTAATTCAGAATAAACTTGACAACTATCATCGTCTACCAACCAACTATACACCCTATATGGTTCAACAGCCACAGTTTTATCCTGACCCCAGGACACTTCCGTTGAGGCACTCCCACCACCACCGTACTTAGGGATACCTCCTCATTTCCACCAACTTCCGGTACACCCCCATGTACTTACAAGCGGTCAAGGCTTTGCAGTATCAACACAACCGTATCATATGAGCACGCCAACAACACACACCAATACGTGGGGAGGAACCCAAAGAACAAGTTATCAGGGGGACCAGAATCGACCCTCACGACCAAGGAGCCAACCCTCGGGGACCCCTAAGGAAAGCATATATCCACAACGAAATATTCCCCCCAGACGGCAAGCAGGAAAACCGACAACAGGTCAACCGGTATACTTACCTCCTCATAAACGACGCTCTGAATCTGGTACTGTAGATACAAGGAGGAATACCACATCGTCATAATTACATCACCTGACGCCACACTCAACTCCTAAAAAGGTCATATTTGCAGATGAAAATTCCGCAGCAAAACTTGCCACGACTGAGCCCCCACCGTAACTTGTCCATATGCCGGACCCTGATACGAGCAGCATCACAGCCAAGGTTGTCAACGACACTCTGAATGAACCGTCGTCAACAAAAAACAGCCATGACTCCAATACTACAGGGCAGGTTTTTTTACGGCATGGCCGTGCAGCAAACAGACACTGGCGGAAGGAAGGAAATCAATCAATATAGGCACCTTCAATATAAAAAATATCCAGTCAAACAGCTTGTATCTAGAACAACTTCTACAGACCACAGATGTACTTTGTATACAGGAACACTGGCTCTTTGAATTCCAACATCAACTCCTTAGCACAGGCACCCACCATCCACACTCCAAGTTTGCTGATTCCAAAGATCCTATATCCCCTCTCCAAGTTCCGAGGAGCTATGGTGGAGTCTCAACCCTGCACAGAAAGGATATGGATGTGAATTACACCCATCACACTGACGGCAGTGAAAGAATCACCGTTTTAGAACTAGATACAAACCCCCCAGTCTGTATCATCAATGTATACATGCCATGTAGAGGGAGACTCTCCGAGACAGCCTACCAAGAGACATTAGATGAGATTGAGGAAATTATACAAAAGTTTGATACTCATGCCATTTTCATCTGCGGGGATATGAATGCCTCACTCAGACTACGCCCCAACAACTACAGAGACAAATTATTGTATAAATTCTGCAAGGACCTGGATCTACAAACAGCACAATGCAGAACTGACACCTTTTTCCATGTAAATGCTAAGGACACTGCTGAAATTAACTATGTCCTCTTCAATAAGAAAGGTGAGAGTATGGTGTCAAAATGCACAATCCTGGAGGAAAACCCAACCAACCACTCGGACCATATCCCGGTAATCCTAGAATTAGATCTACACACAAGATAAACAGACAAAACCACAACAATCAACAACAAACCAAACTGGAGCAAATGCGACCCGAAAGTTACCACAGATATATTGAAAATAACCTGGATCACCTAAAAACACCAGCTAATGAATTTGAAACCATATCGGCAATTCAGCATCTAACAGGCACATTATCAGACGCAACGTCAAGAAGTATACCCAACTACAAACCTATCATACAACTAAAGAGAAAAAAGAAAGCACCATGGAGTGATGAGATACAGCATGCAGCAAAACTCAGTAAGCAAGCAATGTGGAAATGGAAAGAAGCTGGAAAACCTCGTCATGTAGCCAACTTACTGTACCCGGATATGAAGAACAGAAAAAAGACCCTACAGATACTACAGAGGCAACAATCAGCCAAGAAGAGAGATGAATGGACCAATCATATAATAACCTCCTATGGGGAACAGAAACTATTTTATAAATTGGTAAAATCACAGAGGAAGACTTCAGCTACTGGACCAAAAACACTTATGCTGGACGGAGTAACCTATACAACACCAGATGAGGGCCTTCTTTGCTGGAACAAGCACTTTTCACGACTGGCAACCCCTTCGGAAAACATACTGTTCAAGGAGGACCACAAAGAGATTGCTGATAAAACAACAAACCTTATACACATACTCAGTGAGCAGGAACCAGCTGGAATAACACCGGCCTCAGATTCCGAAATCAAGAAAGCCATCTCAAAACTAAATAACAACAAAGCAGCTGACAGCATGGCAATGACTAGCGAATACTTCAAAATGTCTGGAGATACCATAATTCCCTACCTAAAAACTCTTATCAACAGTATGCTAGAGAAAAAGAAAGTACCGGCAATGCTGAAATCTGGACTACTTACTTCAATCTACAAAAAGGGAGATCAGAAAAACCCCTCCAACTACCGTGGGATCACCGTTACCACAGTCATACTTAAAATCGTGGAACATATTCTCAACGCCAGACATAACATTATCCTGAATCCAACACAATCCAAACTACAGACCGGTTTTACCAAAGGTTCATCATCTATCAACTCAGCTCTCATCGTAACAGAATGCCTTAAGGAAGCCCGTCTACAAAGAAAGCCTCTTCTATTAACAACACTCGATGCACAGAAGGCATTCGATGTCGTGGATCAATATATTCTTTTAAACAAGCTCTATGCCGACGGAATCACGGGCGCTGACTGACTGATGATTCAGGATCTCTACAAAGATGTCACATCAGGCGTCAAGTGGGAGAGACAGACTTCAGACCCCTTTACTATTCGACAAGGAGTCCGTCAAGGGGGAGTACTCTCCACATCTCATTACAAACGTTTTAACAATCCCCTACTGAAGGATCTGGAAGAAAAATGCGAGGGAGCCAATATAGGATACATCAGAATCCCACACACAACATGTGCGGATGACATTGCCCTTCTAGCTCACACGGTTCTCGACATGAAACATATGCTGACCAGGGTAGAGAATCATTTAACTCAAGAAAGATATCTACGGAACCCTTCAAAAAGTAAGATAAAACTGTACAACACCAAAGATGTAGAAACATTCCCCATATATGATGAACCAATAGAGATAACAGACCAGTTACCCCATCTTGGAGTCCTTAGAAATGGCAAGAACACCATAGACTGCAAGAAAACTGTCCAGACAGGAAGGAAAACAGCTTACTCACTCATGGGATCTGGATTTCATGGGAAGAATGGATCATCTCAACTTGTTAAAGCTCATCTTTGGAAAACCTATGTCGTCCCAAGGCTCACATATGGAATGGAAATACTCAACTACACAAAAACGCAGATGAAAGACCTGGAACGATTCCAGACCAAATCACTAAGACAGGTACAACATCTTCCGGACAGGACAGCAACATCTATATCCCTGGCATTACTTGGAGCTGTATCATTGACAGAAACACACTGAACCTTTTCTACAGAATCATTACCAACCCCTACTCCATAGAGTACTCTATAGCATACCGTCAACTAGCAGTGAGATCGAGAGACGAGGATAGCTAGTTCTCTCATGTGAGGAACCTCCTGGGACAGTACAATCTTCTAACGGCATTTACTCTCCTCGAAGATCTTCCACTCAAAAGTCAATGGAAAGAGATGCTAGACAGGGGGATATCTACGCATATTCAAGACAGCTGGAAAGATGATTTCGCCACCAAATCGTCACTCAAATACATTAACCCTGATTCCGTTACCTTGAAAGAACCTCACCATGTCTACTCCACAGTGCGAAATAACAAACACGATGTCCAACGAGCCGAATGCAAGACAAGACTCCTCAAGGGCACATATACCATACAGGCAAATAGAGCAGCCGTCAACCAATACAACGTCAACCCGGAATGCAGACTATGTCATACAGGGCCAGAGGACCGGCAACACTTCATTGCCGTGTGTACAGCATACGATAGAATAAGGGGTCATGCCTATCTTCGACTACAAAGTATTCCAGCAATATACAGAACTGACTTCAAATCCTACAAAATTCACTCATCTGATACTAGATTGCACACACCCAGAGATCAGCGATATCCATGTCTTTAACAATGATGAGATCAACAAAATTGAACTTCACAGTAGAGAATACTTGCAAGAAATCCATCTACGACGAGTTAAGCTACTTGCAGAACTAGATACAGAGGAGAATGGCAGACCAACTAATGATATTTTTCATATAAACTTTACTATGTTTTATGGAAGAGAATAGAACTCTTTAGTTTTTGATCCCTGTGTACATACGCCCTGACTGTGTACATATCTGTACAGATTTTATTGCTGAGCCGATATTCTACGCTACTAGGAAGTAGCGGTGCCTCGACAAGACAACGAGGGAATCTGCCAAGGAACCTGAACCTGAACCGTTGCTTCTATACGTATATAAAAATGAAAAAGAATGTCCCAAATCTAAAATATAATATGAACGTACAACGGATCTTTTTGCTGTTTTTCAACAGTTTGTGTCGGATTATTTACATGATTGTTTGTTGCAAGAAAAAATATTCCATTAAAACCGTTGAATACTGTAAGGAAAAGATGATTGTAAAATTAATTTTCATATCTTTGCATAATGTTTATTTATCCTGCTGCACTGACGCCTTTGTAACAAATTAAAGGAAAAGCCCAAAATGTTTACGTCTTTCAAATTTTATGTTGATGAATATGTCTTTCAAAAAATTTCATAAAAAAAAAATCCCGAAACAACTTTGAAAAATTCCTTCTCCAGTATATATTTTGAGATAAATGACTTTCAGGTGTATATAAACGAAAAAGAATTAATTCTATCAACCAAAATCAACAACAAAACCAATGGTACGCCATTTCAAATCGGAAAGGCTTAGTCGCATTAAAAAACGGGTATATCGAGATTTAGATATCCCTCTCCAGGCGTTATATCCGGAATATAAATTCATCATTCTTGTTGTAAATTGCTTTCTGTTTCAGTATCATACACCTGCCATGGTGACGTCAGACGTCTTCATCCCACCGGTAGAGCCAATGGAGGTAATGACGTAGCTTGTTTTGAATCAATAATAGAAAGACGGATTTAAGATTTTTACGAAAAGATCAGAAATGTGACTTCTACCAAAATATCGTAATCATTAGCTGATTTAAAAGATTATTTTTATCAGAAATGATACTAATGCTAGCGCGATCCCGTATTAATCTAAGCCAAACTGGCGCAAATTGAAAACAATATGTATTGTAAATTCACTAGGAACTACGAATCGTTTTTCTCTTATCAAAAAAGAAAGAAATGAACAGTTCAACTCGATATTCTGCCTAAGTACCATTTCTCTCCGATAGGCTGCGCTCTTTGATAATTCCGAATCTAGACTGGATTGTCAGACTAAGTACCATTTTTCCCACTAAACTGCGCACTTAGACGCTAATTGAAGCCTGGAGGAGAGTTGAAACTACGGTAGACAATCCAGTCTATTTCGAAGAGAAACCTACAAGAGAGAAGATCTGACCAGATCTCGACATCTTCTAGTTAGATGTCGACATAAACAACTGACAAACTGGTGTCATATCCGAGCACGAACACGATATAAAGTCAACTTTCCGACTTGCTAGACAATTATCTTGGATTTATTATCTTGGCCGGTAAATTAGCAAGTCGACATATTCTTCAGTTTAGGACAACATCGTCTTCTGTGATGTTAACATCTTCTCATATTATGTCGACATAATTCAGGAATTATGTCGACATCACTAAGTCGCAAGTCGGCAACTCGATGGCAGAAATATGCCACCATACCATAGAAATCGAATGTTCTACGTGTATACGTGTTTTGGCGTGTTGTTGTTACTACGGGTGGAGATGTATGAGAACTGGTGAAGTATGATTTGTGCTGTTCCTGTCGCTGACAAGTGTGTCCCGTGATTTTAGTGCTGCCACACCTATGTTATCCTGATTCCTTGATTTTATGTATTTCCAGAATGGTTTTCATTTGTTATGATTTTGTCTATCTTGAACTTTGTTTACATATTCGTTTTCAGCTTTTCTTATTTCTGAGTTGTTGTTTTTTGGAAGTGATAGAAGTTATTAGGGCTTTTCGCCAACAGGTGAAAAGACCTATTAATAATAATAATAATAATAATAATAACTTTATTTAAAGGGGGTTACACATTTAGTACAAGACTAATCTTCCATGCGGCCCTCAAACACATATAGTACATGAATGCATAAAGATATTACATAACACAATGATATGATATAACTACAATCTACAAACACAATCCATTAATGAGATTACTGTAAACTGACTAGAATTACATGTGTTGTAATGTCTATGGTAACGTATGTCCAACAATATCTTGCATATACTAACAGCATATGTGGAACCTTACATTATAGGTTTTGACAGTGTCCTGTGGAATTTCAATACCAAACTTTTTATTAACATGAAATTGATAATGTTCATTTATCCATTTAAGTAAAGAGACAATAGGTGACTCTTGAGATTTTTTTTAAACGTGAAGACTGTTATATCATTCTTAATTTGGTTTGGAAGATTATTCCATGACACAACACCGGTATAGTTGAAAGATTTTTTGAATAATTCAGTGTTGTGTCTTGGTATAACTAGATTATTATGAGAAGTTGATCTTAACCCATAGTTATATGTATCATGGCATAGACTTAGGTTAGATTTAATGTAGCCTGGTGCTAAATCATTTAGTGCTTTGTATACTAATATACAAGTATGATATTTAACTCTGTAATTAAAAGAGAGAGTATCACATTATTTAAAGTGTTCAATGCTTGGAGTTAAGATGGGCTTATTTAATACAATACGTATAGCCTTTTTCTGGATTTTAGTGATATAATTTCCTTGTTCAATTGTTAAACCATTTCCCCACACAATAGCAGCAAAGTCCAGTATTGGCAATATATAGGCGTTATAGTAAAATTTTCGGGCTTCTTGATTCAAATAGCCTGCCATTCTACGCAAAAGTGCAACAGAAGTTGCTAATTTGGAAGATACTTTTTTCACTTGGGTTACCCAACTTAGATGGTTATCAATATACATACCCAGAACCTTTTGACAGGAGGAAGACGCAATTTCGTCATTGTCTACTACCAAACGTAATGGATTTAGATTTGCAAGTTTATGTTTGCTGGCTATTACCATACTTGTGGTCTTATTTGTATTCAATTTCATGTTATTATTCACACACCATCTCACTATATGATTTAGATTATCTTGGAGATTATCTGCAATGGCAGAGGAGTTATCTCCCTTCAAATGCATTGTACTATCATCCGCATACATGTCAATCAAACAATTTTGTACATATAATAGCATATCATTTATATATATAATGAATAGTAACGGCCCAAGTTTTGAGCCTTGAGGAACACCTGACCTAATTACTTTAGGTGAAGATGAAATATTGTTTGATTTGACAGATTGCACTCTATTTTCTAAGTATGATGTTAGTCAGTTTACACTGGTGCTAGAGAATTTAGTATCTTAAGTTTATGTAGAAGAATGTCATGATCCACCAAGTCAAAGGCACAATTACTTCATTATTGTCAATACCCTCAATCCATTTATCAATTAGGTTAACTAGGGCAGTCTGACATGAGTGTTTCGCTCGAAAGCCTGATTGCGAGCTATGCAAAAGGTCATACTTCAATAAATATTTATATAAGTGATTTGAAGTATGTCTCTCAAATATTTTGGATATAGTAGGTAGAATAGATATTGGTCTGTAACTATCTAGAATATCCTTATCTCCGCCCTTGTGTAGTGGTGTCACTCTTGCTATTTTTAGAGCGATGGAAAGATGGACGTTGATATACTCAAATCAATGATATAATTTAAATATGGAGATATAATATGGTTGCAAATTTTAAGTATTTTTGGACCAAGTCCANCGTCACAAAATGATCATTATAATCCAGTGTTTTTTTATCGACCATATTGGAGACATCAACAAAATGCATATTTATTCTGCCTATGATTACTTGTTTATCAGTAATGGTCATGTCGTTATTTTTTTTTTAAGATGAGTAGGAATAGTACTTCGAGATTCACTGGATGACATGCATTTTACGTGTTTCCAAAGTAAGGCACTAGGTTTGTGATCAGTAACAGTATTATTTAACATATCTTTCTTTGAATTTAGTATTAGCAAATTAGTTTTGTTTCTCCATAACCTATATTAGAATTGTTATGTTTCTTATTCTTCTTATTATTATTCTTCTTTCCTGAATTTGTTGCCGCCTAATCTTTTGATTAGTAGCAGATTTGTGAACAATCTTATAAGTATATTGTAGGCAAAGGTCAAAAGGTGTCATTGCAACATTTTCAAGGAGATCAAAAATCCAATATGGCCGCCATGACGTCATAGGTCAAATCTTAAAATGGCCATAACTCAAAAACTGTTTATTGTACAGCAGTCATGCAATTATATTATTTGTAGATATTCTACATGGCTAGCCTTTTCTTCATACATGTTATTACAAAAAAAGTCAAATAAAAATCCTCGCTGTTGGTTCAAAGGTCAACACTTTTTCAATTTTCAATACTTTTGAAAAATTCTTTTTGAAATGCAGTATGTCATTCCGATGTATTTGGTGTCTTCAGTTTTTCTAAAACGTTTTCCGGTTGCACTGTTCGCCGTTTTGAAAATTTCCTGCGATCTTTTTGAAATGCCGACAATATGTTAAAATCAATTTTCTCCAATATCTGTGAGATATTTTTCCAATTATTTATCGAATACAAAATTTCTCAGATAGTGTTTCGAATTTGGTTAGGTTATTGACTTCTTTGAAAAAACAAAATGGCCGCCATGACGTCATATCCGTTTTTACCTTAANTATTTTACGTGTTTCCAAAGTAAGGCGCTAGGTTTGTGATCAGTAACAGCATTTTTAACTAACTTTCTTTGAATTTAGTATTAGCAAATTAGTTTTGTTTCTCCATAACCTATAGTTATCCCAATCCTTTGCCGAATGAAATTCGTAAGCGCCTTGCATTGGCTATGTCCTCGTTAAACCATTCCGGCTGTTTGTTTCGTTTGACCCTTTTAGTTTTCATCATGGCATGTTTATCTAGGATTTTCAATATTATGTTATATAGGAGTGATAGTGCTTCATTTGGGTCAGTCTNTTACAAAAAAAGTCAAATAAAAATCCTCGCTGTTGGTTCAAAGGTCAACACTTTTTCAATTTTCAATACTTTTGAAAAATTCTTTTTGAAATGCAGTATGTCATTCCGATGTATTTGGTGTCTTCAGTTTTTCTAAAACGTTTTCCGGTTGCACTGTTCGCCGTTTTGAAAATTTCCTGCGATCTTTTTGAAATGCCGACAATATGTTAAAATCAATTTTCTCCAATATCTGTGAGATATTTTTCCAATTATTTATCGAATACAAAATTTCTCAGATAGTGTTTCGAATTTGGTTAGGTTATTGACTTCTTTGAAAAAACAAAATGGCCGCCATGACGTCATATCCGTTTTTACCTTAATGACCATAACTCTTTATTGGCTGAACATATTAAATTCATCTTTGGATATATTTTTAACCCTAACAATAGAAAACTTTTTCTCGGGAAACATTTTTGTGTAAAATGTCAACTGCCAGTTTTCGGCAGGGGTCAAATTTCAAAATTGCTATTTTGGGTAACACATTCAAAAAATCTTCTTAAGTTCTACAAGGTCTTGGGTCTTGATATTTAACAGATAAAGTGCTCAGGTATTGGCTATCAAGTTTGTGAAAATGGTTGACCTTGACCTAGTTTCAAGGTCATAGGGGTTGAATGTCTAAAACTCTTTATACGGCCTCTTCTCAATAACCAAGAGGCCTATGGCGATGATATTTGGTCAGTCGTTTTAGCTTGATTGTAGAGGTTTTGTTTTTCCTGCAGCATTTTCCTTATCCTTTTGTTGAACCATTGGATTTTGTAGTTTGAGTTGGTATATTTGAGTTTAGTGAGTGAGGAAGATAATTTTAGAATTACAGCCAGCATTCTTCTACTCCTTCATTATTCGTATCCTATTTGTTATTGTCTTGACTAAGGCTGTACATTTCTTTTCTTCCCTCCCAATTTGCTCTTCTTCACAAGAAGGATTTTCCTGTTATTATTTTCTGGTAATGTGGTTTGGTGTCCATGTCAGTTACAATGATGTCATGGTCCGAGATACTGGTTTGTTAATTGATGAATTGATTAAGCTTGGTTTTGTAATAATTACTGGGTAGGCTCTTTTCTCTAGCAGGTTCTTCATGGATTTGCGTGATGTATGCTTGTATGTTTGCATCAATTCGCTGACGTTGGATTTCTTTGTCATTTGCGCTTCGTTTCGTTTTGTTAAATTTTCCCTGTTTATGTCATTACCAGGGTAATTGAACTCGCATGATAGCATGAAGTTATTTGAAGAAGGGTTTTATGTTGCTAGTTTCACGGTGACTAGATCATCTACAGTCAAAGTGTTCCAATGTGGCATGTAGGAACACCTATGAAGAGATATTTTTTACCTTTACTCTTTCCCATTCAATCTCAAAGGTTGTATTAGGTCTGGTTGTTCCGTTGAGACAATGTCTTTGCTGGTTAGGATGAAAACACCTCCCCTTAGTATTCCACGGTCATTTCTGTATGCAGTCTAATTTTCTTTTCTTTTTTAGATTTCTGAAACACTTTTAGCATTCAACCTCAACGAGAGTCTAAAGCAACTGACATTTTTTTCCCACAGGTGTTACAACATCCAAAAATGAAGTAGAGCACGATTACCGTGACCTGAACAACAAGAAATCTTGTTACTACGCATCAGGCGCGGCGCACTGTAAGTACACGAAAAATCAGAGGGTATAAAAATGCACACGACCAGACAGCACGGCGAATTGTAAGTACACGACCAGGCGGGCGCAGAGTAATACAAGCATACAACCAGGCGGGCGCGGAGTAATACAGGTACACGGCCAGGCGGGTATGGCGTAACACCAGCATACGACCAGGCATGTACGGCGAAATGTCAAAACACAACCAGACGGGCACGGCGTAATATCAGTTAACGACCAAATGTTTACGGCGTAATGTCAGTACACGACCAGGCGATCGCCGCTTAATGTCTATACACAACCAGACGGGCACGGCGTAATGTCAGTACACGACCAGGCGGGTACGGCGTAATGTCAGTACACGACCAGGCGGGTACGGCGTAATGTCAGTATACGACTGGCGGGCACGGCGTAATGTCAGGACACGACCAGACGGGCACGGCGTAATGTCAGGACACGACCAGACGGGCACGGCGTAATGTCAGGACACGACCAGACGGGCACGGCGTAATGTCAGTTCACGACCAGACGGGCGCGGTGTGATGTCAGTACACGACCAGACGGGCACGGCGTAATGTAATGACACGACCAGACGGGTACGACGTAATTTAAGTACACGACCAGACGGGCGTGGTGTGATATAATGACACGACCAGACGAGCACGGCGTAATGTAATGACACGACCAGACGGGCGCGGTGTAATGTAAGCGCACGGTCGACAGGCTCGGCGTGATGTGACCTGTATGCACATGACCAGGCAATGGCTGCAAACCAAAAGTTCACGATCAGATTGACATGAAGTAGTACATTTCATTTTGGGGAAAAAACCGATGGGACGATGACAAGGGCTGGCACGTTCTCCAAGTACAAGAGCAGGCGACATTTTGAACATTTATTTCCTGGAATTTTATCCATGTCAAAATCACCAACGTCTTTATGGCACAGTTTATAAAGATACACCGAGTCCTGTATTTATAAGAACTTATAAGGAAAATACAGTTAAGAACTTGGAATTGTGAATTCATTTACATGCATGAAATCGGTGTGGTACAAACCTTAATGAACTTTACGTAAAATTATTTGTATGAAAATTAAGTAAAAATATTTGTGTGAACCTTCAATAGAAATAATCTGTATGAACCTGAAGGAGGAAATATTTGTATGAAAAACATTTGTATGAATATTTAGTAGAATATTTCTGTATGAACCTTAAATAGAATATATCTGTATGAACCTTAAATAGAATGTCTCTGTGTGAACCTTAAATAGAATGTCTCTGTGTGAACTTTCAATAGAATGTCTCTATATGAACGTTAAATAGAATATATCTATAGGAACCTTAAAAAGAATATATCTGTATGAACCTTAAATAGAATGTATCTGTTTGAACCTTAAAAGAATATATCTGTATGAACTTTAAATACAATATATCTGTTTGAACCTTAAATACAATATATCTGTATGAACCTTAAATAGAATATATCTGTATGAACCTTAAATAAAATGTCTCTGTGTGAACCTTAAATAGAATGTCTCTGTGTGAACTTTCAATAGAATGTCTCTGTATGAACGTTAAATAGAATGTATCTGTATGAACTTTAAATACAATATATCTGTTTGAACCTTAAATAGAATATATCTGTATGAACCTTAGATAGAATATATCTGTATGAACCTTAAAAAGAATATATCTGTATGAACCTTAAATAGAATGTCTCTGTGTGAACCTTACATAGAATGTATCTGTATGAACTCTAAATACAATATATCTGTGTCAACTTTAAATAGAATGTATCTGTATGAACTTTAAATACAATATATCTCTATGAACTTTAAATACAATGTATCTGTTTGAACCTTGAATAGAATATATCTGTTTGAACCTTAAAAAGAATATATCTGTATGAACTTTAAATACAATATATCTGTTTGAACCTTAAATACAATATATCTGTATGAACCTTAAATACAATATATCTGTATGAACCTTAAATAGAATATATCTGTATGAACCTTAAATAGAATGTCTCTGTGTGAACTTTCAATAGAATGTATCTGTATGAACTTTAAATACAATATATCTGTGTGAACTTTAAATAGAATGTATCTGTCTGAACTTTAAATACAATATATCTCTATGAACTTTAAATACAATATATCTGTATGAACTTTAAATACAATATATCTGTATGAACTTTAAATACAATCTATCTGTATGAACTTTAAATACAATATATATCTGTATGAACCTTAAATAGACTGTATCTGTATGAACTCTAAATACAATATATCTGTATGAACCTCAAATAGACTGTATCTGTATGAACTCTAAATACAATATATCCGTTTGAACCTTAAATAGAATGTATCTGTATGAACTCTAAATACAATATATCTGTTTGAACCTTAAATAGAATATATCTGTATGAACCTGAAATAGAATATATCTGTATGAACCTTAAATAGAATATATCTGTATGAACCTTAAATAGAATGTCTCTGTGTGAACCTTAAATATAATATATCTATTTGAACCTTAAAAAAAAAAAAAAAAAAAAAAAATGTATGGATTTTAAGTAGAAATATGTGCGTGAACCTTAAGAGAAAAATACCAGTACTTACCGTTGTATGCAGTTTGAGTGATTAAATACGGATATTATACATGTTTGAAAATACATGTATGTGTTTTCTCGCCATCAGGTATCCAGCCGTCGGTAATTGCCGCCTTGGCCAGTCGGGAATCACGTGGGGGACGTCTTCTGACGTCAACAGGAGGATGGGGAGACCATCACAATGCCTACGGTATATTACAGGTAATCACTGGCCTGTAACGGTCACGGACATATCGGGCTAAGTCAGTCTTAGTCAATTGAGCGCTTTACCTAAAAGTAAACTTTATATACTGTACAACAATTGCGAAACAATGGCATTCTTATGCTTACCTTAGATTTTCAATCGCCAGTAAAAGTCTGAAGTACGAGGGCTATGCAATAAATTCTATCACCAATGTAAGGAATTACACGTAGGTTGTATATAATTTGATTCCTCCCTTGGCAGAAGCGCCCTTTCTCAATCGCGCTATCCATGACATAAACTCCGCGCGGTAGTCTCCCCTTGGTATACTGCCGATACACTGAAAGATTGCACTACCAAGAGCACTCATAGAGGCATAACGCTTCCTAGAGAGCATTTTCTTTAATAAAAGAAACAGGAAAAAGTCACAGGGACTTAGATCTGGTGAACAGGGTAGGTTGTCAATCTGTGCTTCAAAAACTTCAACAATGAAAAACTTCTTTAATTCTTGTCGGCTGATGTCGAAATTTTGCAGGTGCATTGCTCTTTAAATGCTTTTACAGTCTACCTCGGCGCTGAACTATTTTATTGCCCGTTCGCACGGGAGCTATGTGATGACAGAATTTATTGAATGGCTCTCGAATAATCGCGATATACTGACACAAATCACAATGCACAGTAGGGGTATCCCCTAAGTATTACACGACCACCTTCTGATCCGTCTCTCTAGTGTGACACCCGCCACCACAACTTCTGCGAGAATTATGCTTGGGACAGCTGTGAACACATGGAACTTATGGTCAGGAATGTTCTTGTTCCCTACATTACCCAGGTGGCGCGTAAGCATCCCACGTGGTCCCAAGATCAGAAGCTCCAAGGTAAGTTTTCAAATGTCTCCACAAAATTTGCAAGTTGTCGATATTCTATAAAATTGTTATTTCTCTAAAACAATTTTGCGATGTTTTCCATTAATTCAATATTGAGAGTAAGTCATTTATATGCAATCTTGTAATCCTATAGGGGTTAGCACAGGCGAGTAGCCATATTAAAGCCCAGATATAGATTATAATAACATTATTTGAAAATCCCCTCCGCGTAAACAGAAGGAAGAAAATAACATTTGAAACCCGTACAAGAAGCTGACTGCTTCACTGATAGAGAGGGAATCGATTGATAGAAGTTAGAATTGATATATGGAAGATAAAAATATATTTGTTATGTTTAAAAGCCGTGTATTCATTGAACCGCAGATTATGCTGTTTTCAGTTAGAAAATAACGGTTGGTACCACTCTCGATCAAGTGATCTTACTTGAATTTTCATTAAACCACATCAGATGCCAATTAGTCTGAGTTTAAGATAAAATTGAAATCTGTTGACAGTTTGGTGACGAGCTTAAGTCATCCATTGTTCTAGACGCACGTGCAGTCGTCACGTACACATTAGGTATAAATATGGGACCAGTAGAACTAACAAATCGCTCTTGCTTGAAACACTAGGACTTACACTAATAGTATAGCAGTCGTCATGACCAGCTCGCTGGCTACAAGGGCGTGTCAGTAACACCCGACAGCTTTACCTTCATAACATCTTGGGTAACCCATGTCAGCCAGGGAGTGTCCAGCACATCACTGGCATCACTATACGATCACATGACGCCATAGCCATTGAGTGAAAGCGAAGGATTCGTAATAATATTTCATTTATAAACCTTGGAACTTTTCTTCTGTGTTTTGTAAACACATTTAACGGACTATAGGGGACCCATATCTCGAGATTGATACGAGTATAACATTCGAAAAAAGCACGGTATTTTTTACGTATGCTACTGTATGTATCAAAATAAGCAAACTAGAAAGGAAAGAGTTGCTATCCCTTTGGCCCATGTATGCATTCATCAGGAAACGCAGTTTCATCAACAGTTGCTTGCTGAACCCATATATGGGCAAATGTGCTAGCAACTCTGTGTTTTAGTTTGGACACCATTCAATTTATACTGTGTACATTGTGGTATTTATTTTCGCTAAAATCTGCTTTCGCAATGTTTGTCATTCATTCAATATTGGGAGTAGGCCTATTTATATTCATTAGTATTAAGTTAAAACCATATTTTATTCGTGTAGTTTGACATGTACATGGAAAACAAACACTAACGCACTTATACTTAGTCTTTTTCATATTTCATTCAACTTGCATTATCTCGAAATAGATTCGAATATAACATTCGAAAGAAAAGATTTATTTCCAGTATCCACATCTGGTTCCATTTGATTGACAGGTGGTATCGCTGCCTACAACTTTGGAGTAAGAAACGTCCAGTCCTGGGCCAACCTTGACGGTGGCACAACACAAAATGACTACAGCAATGACGTAGTTGCGCGTGCTAAACGTCTCATCGCAAATCACAATTGGCAGTAAAATGTTGTTCAGCACAAAGGAATGACACGAAATTATGTTTTGTTGCTAATGGCTCACTCGCCACAATAATAAAAGTTGTACTAAAGTACTAGTGTTCTTCAAAAAATAATCTTTTCTGCTGTGTACCAAAACCATGTTATTTCTATGCATGGATACAGAACGATTATATATTAACTACAGATGGAATATCATTTCACGAGCTTTCACGTGTGTTGTGAAAACGCGAGTAAATTTAGCATAAGCTTCCGTGTTAGTGTTCGCATAGGGTGGCACCTAGCGCAATTGATATGGCGCGGGTTTAGTGACAAAGAAGTGGCACGTTAGAATCCACATGCGGTGAAATCTAGATTGGTCCTTCAGAAACAAACTTTGAACCTCTGAATTCCACCTGCCTAGAGCGGAGTATTATTATAGGATAGAGAAATTCCACCAAAGGAGTTTTCAAATTGGGGAAAAACCAAGGCCTTTACATTGTTTTGCAAAAATTTGAAAATCCCGAGGTTGGAATTTCCCTTTTTTACATCAAAGGGCATGAAACAGTATTTTTCGCTTATTCCAATCACCAGACTAACCTCAGAAACCACAAAATATGTCGCAAATTCCGCATCGGGAAATCGAAATGGTTTCCGATAGCCTGAGGTACCGAAGTTCTTAAAAATGGTAGTTGCTATTCCCTGCTCAAGACTTATCGCAACATGTGACGGGGTGGAATATTGTGATGGGTGCCTGCTGCATGGTGTTTCAGAGAGGTAGCACTCTAAAGTCGGCATCAGATCCGCCTTATCATACATTGAAGATACTACATCTACATAATTTGCTTCCAGCACACATACACACATGCACACATACTTTACATGCATGGAAGCATGTACTAAATGAACTTAGCTGTTAATACGACGTTAAACAAAATAAAACCAAACCAAACCGATCCTGACATCACGTCATTGTTGCCCAGATGTGACGTGAACAGGAGTGTAAGATAAAAATGGTTGTACTCCTTTCTTACCCTGGACAGTTATATCATAATTTCTGCATATGTACATATTACGATTGGATCACCCTCGTATTGAAGTGGAATATAGCTATACATTTTCCGTTGGAAGTAAATGCCCATAAAAAGCAAAGCACCTGCACCACGTCCAGCACACACACGCATAACGTATGGTATCACGTGGTAAGACGAGCTTAAATGTTAAGCAAAATAAGCGGACACAATACATCTCCAGCACACATACAGGCATACACACATAGGGAGATATTAGCCAGGTGGCATATAACTAGTAGTTAGCGCCTGATAAGGCAGCTCCTGCGACTTCCTCAATATTGTATTGATTAATATATATGCTAATTGTATTGACTGTATAAAGTTGTATATCTATGTACTGTAAAGCGCTTCAGAGTGGCTTATGGAAGCTAGATAGGGCACTATATCAAATGTTGTATATTTATTTATTTATTTAATATAAGAGTGATGTCATTAAGATAAGGTGGAACACTTTGTAGAATACAAGTATTAATTAAAATAAATACCTTAACAGGTGATATTTATCTGACTATCATATAAGTTTGGTTTGTGGGCAGAACCTAAGTGCAAAATCTTTTCTGTTTGCTCTGAAATATTCAATTTTCTGTCATTACATGCAATCAGAGAATACAGTCAATCATGAAGATATTTGAGGGAGTCTGCTAATGCTGTCATAATGACACGTTGTTGGTGTTTTAATTAAGGGAGCCAAACTTACAATAGAATGTAAGATAACTACAACCCGTTAAAGAAGCAACATTTCAGAATAAGAATCCCATTACTCGTTTCGTGTATTTCAGTTACTTCCCTTTACTCATTGACTCGTGTTGCATAACAGTGATTTCTAGCGATTACCTCCCTTCCACCAGACATAGAACTTGTCTTTTCCTTTTCATTTCGGTAAACAATAAGAAAAAAATGCATAAAAATTGAAGATTTAAACGCATTTGCCGTCGTCGTTGTCGGGGTTTTTTCATTCACTTTAATAAAGTTTTTCGACAAATAGGCCTGGATCCTGAAAAGATATCACAGAAGTAGTTTTCATATTTTACTTTTTTTCATCATCATCATCATCATCATCATCATCATCATCACCAGCATCATCATCATCATCATCACCAGCATCATCATCATCATCATCATCATCATCATCATCATCATCATCGTCATCATCATCATCATCACCATCGTCTTCGTCGTCGTCATCATCATTATTTTAGATAACCGTGATCTTTTTGATTTTACATAATTATAAGGTTTTTATGATGGTTTGTTATTTCATGATGACGTCATGATTGATGTTCATAGATGTATGTTTATTACATATAATATAGGAATATAGCTGTGTTCCATATAGGTACGTATGTGGTCTATATAATTCATGTGTGTTCCAAATAAATTCATATGTCTAGTATGTAAGTGCAGAGATGGTCCATATAAATTCAGATGTGTTCTATATAAATACAGAGAGGTTCTATATAAATTCAGAGATGTTCAATTTAAATTCAGTGTGTTCCGCATAAAAAAGGATGTGTTCTATATAAAATACAGAGATGTTCTATATAAAATCAGATATGTTCTGTATAAATACAGGTGTTTTCGATATAAATACATATATGTTCTATATAAATAAAGATGTGCCTATATAATTATATAAAAAAAAATATATGCTCTATATAAATACAGATGTGTTCTATATAAATATAGTCGTGTTCTATATAAATATAGCCATGTTATTTGAATGCAGAGATGTTCACAATAAATACAGACGTGTTCTACAGCAATACAGATATCTTCTATATAAATACAGATATCTTCTATATAAATGCAGATATCTTCTATATAAGTACAGATATCTTCTACTTAAATACAGATATCTCCTATATAAATACAGATGTGTTCTGTATAAATACAGGTGTGTTCTATATTAATATAGTCGTGTTCTTTATAAATATAGCCATTTTATTTGAATGCAGATATGTTCACAATAAATACAGACGTGTTCTATATAAAGATAGCCATGTTATTTGAATGCCGAGATGTTCACAATAAATACAGACGTGTTCTACAGCAATACAGATATCTTCATAGAATATATCTGTATTTGTATAGAAGATATCTGCATTTATATAGAAGATACATGTATTTATATAGAATATATAAATACAGATATCTTCTAAATACAGATATCTTCTATATAAATACAGATATTTTCTATTTAAATACAGATATCTTCTATATAAATACAGATATCTTCTCTATAAATACAGATATCTTCTCTATAAATACAGATATCTTCTATATAAATACAGATATCTTCTATATATATACAGATATCTTCTATATAAATACAGATATCTTCTATATAAATACATGTATCTTCTATATAAATACACATGTGTTCTATTTAAGTACATATGGCACATATACATACACCTGTGCTCCATATGATACATGTGTCATAAATACATGTGAGTTCCATATAAATACAGTTGTCACTTTTATATAACATACACATGTGATCCATATATATATATATACATTGTATCACCTAAACATACCAGCATGTTCCAAATAAATACTTGGGTGTCACATGTGCATAAAGATGATTATTAAATGTACACCATTATATTCCACGTCTATATAAGTGTCTGTCATACCACATTGTATAGGGGGTTAAGCCAACTTTATTTTGTTTTTGAACACTGCTACAAGGTTAGCAGAGCCAAACCTATTTTCACGGAGAAAGCGAACAGAGCTACTTACATAGCCGCCATTTTTGTTTTTTACCTAGAATGTCGTGACAGGGTTTTTCATGCGCAATGACATTTCGCATATTTTCCCTTTGAACTTTTGTTTTTCTGATTTTGAATATGAAACAAAATCCTTGCGGTGACGTTGTGGGTCGTGACACGATCCTGTCGACACCATATTGTGTCGTATTGTTATTAACACTATCATCCGAAACATCTGTTGTCGTTAACGAGGAAATCGCCGTTGTACATGCGAGCTTTTCTTCGTCTTTATAATATTTTTTTGTTAATTTAAAAGGAGAACGGTCATTTTTATTTCGTTGATAGATCTAGCGTGATATTTTGCTGACAAACTGAGCGGTGTTACATGTCAAATCTTTGTAATATAGTACCTAATGATTTTCCGGTAAATGCCGGCGCGTCCTATTTGTTACCCAATATCATGTTAACAAGCCAAAGTTTCAATTTAAAGAGATCCTGATGATATTGTCACAGATGAATATCTTAACACGTCATTATCCATTGAAGTTGGTTTGACTAAAGCTAATAATTTACAAGGTTTTTATATACCGAGAAAATTAATGATATAATAATTTGTTCACGCTGAGCTGTTTTTCTCTATATTTTCAAATCAATAAAAGGCATTAAGGCGATGTATACCAATACGCTACCAGTCTCCATTTCAAATGCCCACCCTTCCTCGGCGCTTCAGCATGTATAAGCCACCCCACCCCACCTCAAAAGAGATGCAGCAGCTCTTGAGCTTGGGACAAACTCTCGACACAAATCCAACTCATGTATGACAAATGTCTTGTCACATTATAAACAAAAAATTGAAGAACATATCTTATTTTAAGACATTGCATTTTGTCCTTGTTATCCCGTTTTAAATATATTGTAATCACGTGTAGTGTCGTGCTGTCGTATCCAGGTTATGCTATTTCAGTGAGATACCACTATAAAGTGGCTATTGAATGGTTTCATCATCTGTTTGCGAGAAAGCAAAGCTCCCTGCATACTTGCACTTACTTTCATAACCACAGGGACATGAGAACTTGTTACAGCTTTATTTGGACCTAAACTAAGATATTCGGAATAATTTTACATGTTTTATGGTTGTAGGTCACGTGTTAGATTACTCTGAACACCTTAGTTTAGGTCCAATATAGCTGTGACAAATTCTTAAGTCCCTGTGGTCATAACGGCGTAGCCATTAAAAGAATGCCGCTCGATTTTATGACTTGTATTTACATTCCTACTCTGTAGCCTTGCCTGGGCAAATTTAATTGATATTGTCGATTTCCTAGATAGCACCAATATA